TTCTTCAGTTAATTCCATGTGGTAATAACAATCTCTCCACCAATTTGGTCCATTACACTCACCCTTAGTCTGTTATTTGACGGAAGTAACAGCTGCAAAAAACCTTGTTCCATCATTGAAGTGAGTTAGTAACACTTTGGCTGCTGTAACCTTTTTATATTGTTGCCTAGAGACAACGAGTTGTGACATGAACAATCAATTTGCTACGTTTTATTATTAATTTCAAAGAAAACTCGAGACCGAGTTTTCATTATGTAATCACATTTTTATACCCGATCGAGGCTCCACATCCACAAGGACCGCCTAATTTATTCACCATTCTGTAGTTAATGGATACAACGCCATTCCCGACTGATCCCGTAAGTGGGGGATTAATAATTTATCCCGTTCCGAGTGGCCCTCATGTTTTACGTTATACAGCTGCTCCTTACCATAAATTGCCGTAAAAATGAAGCGGCGCAATTTAAAACATTTACCTGAAGCTCGTAATGTACCGATAAAAGTTTCGGGACCGCAAGAACTTTTTATGATAGTCTCGTGTAAATCAAAAACGCGGCCGTTAACGAAATTATGGTTTTTTCCCTTGATGGCAAACTGCTGTAAGAAAGGACTAAACCTTTTAAAAGATAAAATTTCCCTCCAAATAAAATTTACATTGCTGTAATTTTAAACGTGGATAATCAATTTAGGAGGAAACGTGACGTATCGGAATTTACTTAATTTAAATTACGGATTCCTAAAAACATTTTCCTTTTTCATTTTATCGACGTTATGTTGATTTAGCCAGGAAAACAAGATTAATTACCTTCCTTTGCCAAAAAAAAGGGATTCTCCTACCTCTCTATAGAATTTCAACATACTATAGTAGATAATACAGAATTACAGCGCAAAATATTATTTGTAGTAAACACGATTCCCACCCATTGCAGAGTCACACATTTATTTAGATTTCTGTGGGGTATTTCAATATTTTCCTTGTAGGACCCTTTTTAAAACTGTTTGAAAGTTTCTATTATGTGGATATCTGTTACATTATAATGCATATTGCATATCTTTTTCTTGGTATCTTTTAGTTTCTACAAGGTATAACATGTAAGTGTGTCAAAAAATTGAGTAGTGCATAATGCTTAGTTCTTTTCTCAGTAACTATAAGACATACAGAGGTAAGTATGTCGCTTTTGTTAGGATTCGCTTTTCTAGAAATTATTCCATATTTGCAACACAAAATTGCCTACGCCTAAATGGAAGTAGCAGAGAAATTTTGATTCGCTGTCGGATTTCCGGACAGGAAAGCTTATAGTGTTTGGAGCTATGAAATAAATTGTTGTTACTATGCGTGAAAAAGCAATCTTGGTTGCTTTCTTTTTTTATTGATAACAGATCCCGTTTCTTCGAATTTAGCGACCAAATCTTGAACATAGGCATCTTACATTTCTTCTGGGATGTCTCTCATTAAACGTTCTAGACTTCTAGCTGTTCTAAAAGATGATCGATTTTCGGAGCCATAAATGAATATTATTTCCACATGTTCAGTTGTACTGTAAGCGAGACTGTAAGTCAATAAAAGAAAGCAACCAAGATTGCTTAATGAAGCAGCTCAGGGTGAAGTTCTTGACCAATTTGCCATACATCCCTCAATGTCAACATTTAGTTTTTTTTGGTTAATTATTAAATTTTTGTTACATTGTTTTTTGGCACCACTGGAAAGCATTTTTCAGTATAGCTTTCCAACGATGTGTCACAAGTATTTTTGAAGAGGGGAGCTGGAGGGTTAAGGAGGGGGGGGGGTTCTCACTCAAACGGCATTCTGGTTCCCTCTTGATACCCCCGAAACGGTTTTGCGCGATTTTCACTATCTTCTTTGGGAAAATATGGCCGATTGCAAGTTTTAAAATTGGCACCCTGTATATTAAAAATGAGCAAGGTTCTTGAAGAAATTCTTGAGATCGTTCAGAAAGATATAGCAGATGGCCGACCATGTTTTAGTATATAGGCAATTTACGAAGAAATGATATGATCAAAATTTATGTGAAGTACCGCCGATGAACAGAACCAGGCTGTAAAACATAACCCTGGAAAGGTTTTCTCCTCCCTTAAAAAGGACGACAGGTTTCGAAAGAAGGTAGCTCTAATGTGCAGTATAGCTATGAAGGACGTTGTAGAATCCAAGCCCCCTTCGGATTAATCAGATAAAAAATCATCTGATTGCTTAGAATTTGAAACAATCACCAAGCTGATTGGTCGTAATAATCGGTGAAAATAATTCACGTCACGTCTCTGACGCCTCTGATTGGTCGATTATTTTTGCGGTTTCGGGGATCTAATTGAATCAATTTTATTATTTCTTCTAAATTAGACTTTGATTTTGATCAATTCATTAATTATGGCATGTGATTTACGGGAAATGATAGAGAAAAAAGAGAAAGAGCGACAGATGCCATATTGCAAACCTAAGCTATTTGTAAAAAAATGACAAATCATGCATTTCAAATTTTACAAAAAAGAAAGGGCAAAGCGTTCTAGCAAAAAAGGTTCTGTAGTTACATATAAAGTTCGAGAAACGTATTTATCCGCGAAAGGATGTACAGCTCCCTCCACCATTACGTCAATAAGCGCCTTCCGACATGTTGATTAACCTTCCCAAATGGTTAAAGCTAGAAAAAAAACTTGTTATACCTTGTAGGAAATTTAATGAGCTTTCATTTTGCAAATATGAGTGATTATGAAAAAAAAGTTAGTTTTCGAGATATTGAGGAAAAACCGAAACTAGTTAAAACGTGGTCACTCACGACCAACGAAAGCGCATTTTTCCCGCACAGAATCAGTAATAACTCGGAAAGGAAGTGAATCCAAAACATCTTTTGTCGTTATGGTCTCGGTGCTACATCATATAATAAAGAAAGCGGAGGGCTAGTAGTTACATACAATAAAAAATGGCAGCCTGTTGGCGCCCTCAAATATGGGGTTGTTGGATATGTTCAAGAAGCAGGCCCAAAGAACGTTTGCTAATAGCAAAAAAACAATCAAGTGCCAATAAAGCTTCAATTTATTGTATACGTATGACCGATTATAATGAAGGTTTCGTACCTTCAAAGTGTTTTTACAGTACTTGTTTGAGTAGGTACACTTTCCTTGTAATATAATACTTCAGTAGTTGTAATAGTGTCATTCTCAATTTAGGAACTATAAGGGCGCAATGTATCCGTTTATAATGTCAAATTTCTATTTACATTGAAGATTGATTAGAGGAAGTGTAACTGCACCCACTGGAATAGGTACCTTCGTTTTTAATTTAAAGTACATGGTCGGGATGTTAGGACTAACACAGACAAATTAAATATTCTAATAATGAACGTGAAGCTCGCACGCCGCATGTAAATTAGACAAACATTAATTAAAACGGACTCAAATATTTGCAGAAAATGCCACTTAAATGTCTCGAGGATAAAAAAGTTGGGTAACACTATGTACATATATGAAGGAAGAAAACTTAATGTAGCTCAACTCACGTACATAACATGCATTTTGCATAAATTTTGCGCCCCCATTTTCCATTGTACTGTACTTAGCATGCAGGCTTGCAAACGTACAGCTGTGTCCTCCAAGGTTAGGAAGGACATCAGTGCTGGGACCGTTATGGCCAACATGTATAACTTACAGGCTCATCCATTCCACTAATGACTTTCTGCGAGACACTTGAATACGTAATCATACGCTTTATGAGTCCGTAAAGGGCACATCAAGTGTCCATAAATTGGATTAAATAAATCGGCGCTATTAAATGGGATTATGTCCAGCTAATTCTACTTGATTAATGAATCTCCGCACTCAAATTGCAAACAACACCTCAAAAAGTCAAGCAATTCCGTTGTCGATTAGTATTTTATGGACAAATAAACCGAATAGAGCACATAAAGGGAATCAGTCCTTGATTTTTCAAGTATTCGCCGCACCCAATTTCAAATGTAGCTTTCGAGTAAATAATAACATCGTTTACCTCCCTCGCATCATTTTTTCCCGTATTGATTAAACTCGCAGTTAGGACAAGTGTTGAATAATGGGAGGCAGTTTATAAACTTGCAGACACTCGATTTGATTAAGTTTATTAGCGAAAGTTCGGGGTGACAATTTTTCATTTCAAAATTCTTATTCGCTCCATCTAACATCATTTATAATACGACAATATAACTGTCCCCGTCCCACTTTGTCATTACGTTCAAAAAGGGAGAGATAAAAAGTTTCGCAGTTTTCAAAAGTGGTTGAGAATTTCTATAGAATATACGCGATTATAATAATGGAAAAAAACTTACTCATTAAAGGCAAACTTACTGCCAACTTTGAAGTGCTTACCTAAAAAAAGAAAAGAGAAATACATTAGAAGTTTACATAAAAGATACGCCACCGGCGTATTCGTCAGATACGCCGCGTTCGCTAAATTAATGCGTTTCTGAAGACGCAAAGGTAATTACACGGAAAATCGGTAAGGAGATAAAACGAAAAAATGAAATTAAATTATCGGTATTAAATAGGAAGTATTAAACTTGCATTCTGTTCACTCATCCTGAGAGAGTACAGTGAGAATGATTAGGTAAATCATGAAGGAGGTACCTATTCAACAACTAAAATAGGCAGATATGCTGCAGCGGATCCTGAAACCTTTGACATTGAAAGCATCTCAAGGAACTGGGAATATAGGGACGCACATGTTCCTGGGAGATTTTCGTATTTCGTATCGAATTAACTGCTATTTCGAATAAGTTACAGAAGTTTTTTGGTATTTTATTCCAAATTATAGCTAATCTTGGTAAAAACTACATTGTGTAATGTTCATTATCAAAATTATTTTGGTGTGTGTTATTACGATCTCCCACCTTAAATATGCAATTAGCGCTAGTTGTTACTAGAAATCTATAATTTCGTGACAAAAGAAAAGTTAAAAAAACACCCGTAACCTTCAACCTTAGTATAAAACTCGAGATTTTAAACACTGTTTCAGATGAGAACATAATGAAGTACTGTGTATTTGCGCTACTGCTAGCAACAGTATATGGGGTAAGTTTTGGTCAAGTAAGTTTGAAAGTGATAAGACAGTCGTGCAGGTCACACCAGAGTTGGAAAGCCTAGTAAGAGCTGAAGCAATCCGCATGGGAGGCGAATGCAAAGCTGAAATGGGAGCAACTGACGGTAATTTGAATTATAAAGTGTCTAATTATTTATTTTAGCGATTTACCTCTAGACGACATTGAGCCGTTACTGGCCCATTCGCTGCCTACGACCGAGAAAGGGAAGTGCTTTATAGCTTGCATGTACAAAAAGATGGGAGTGGTAAGCATATTCTTATCATGTTTATCAAAGAAGGCACTTGCTGGGCATTTCAGCAAGATTCAGATGGAAGCATAAAATCCGCAGATGAATTTCTTGAAAAAATAAAACCCATTCACGAAAATTATTACGCTAAAGCCAAAATGATTGCTGATATATGCATAGCGTCCGGTAAGTACCCGTAGATCAGTCGCTGGTTTTATAACCCCTCTGGTTTAGATCACGACCACGACGATGAATGCGACATTGCAAGTTCCTTATACAGTTGTTGGCTGGAACAGAAAGCTAAGGTATGTCTTTGAATTTGAATATGTAGCAGTCAGTTAAGTTTACTTGCAGATGGGGCTTCCTAATATCACACTGAAGTAACTTGCACCACTGCAACGCGATGCTAATTCTAGGGGTAGCTTGATGTATAGATATCGCAAATAAAGGTTTACCATAATTCGACGTTATTCACGACTTAGCCCTAGTTGCACCAACAAAATTAAGCCTTGTTTAAAGTTAAGTTAACTTAAAATCTATGGCAACGATTATTAAGACAGTCGTTGCTATGGTATTTAACGAGGTATTTAAGTAATGCTTAACTTTAATGGATACTTAATTTTGACGGTGCAAAGGGGCGGACTGGCCCGGGGGAGCGGGTGGCGATTGCCACCTGACCTGTAGGTCATAATGGCCCGTTGGAAATTTATAAGTATATAGGGCTAGAATTTTGATGATTTTGTATCTTTTTTTCTGAAAGTCTGAGACATTGTTCTGTTATATATAAACGTGTTTCAGGATAAATTGAATCAAATGACAGCAACTTGTTGGTGCATTTTCTTGCATTCCTTGCCATTTTTGAGCAATGGGTCATTTTTTGCTAATTTTTACGGGTTTTTTAGCATTTTTTGTGTGTTTACTTTGAATTTTTTGCATTTTTCAGGAATAGCGCTAATTATGTTGATATTTTACGGTATTTCTCTTGGCGAACTTATAAACCTTTGTTAAAGTTTTATTTTTCAGGCAGTCTTATATTTCTAAAACATAATGCAATATTTTTCTTTTCTCGGTAGTTCCGGGTATCTTTACCTGTTTAGAAATGAAGCCTATAAAACCTCAATTGTAAGCTAAATGCATAGTTTTCATCCACAAACGAATGCCTACTAAAAGGGATTAAATTTCTTTGGGATGCGGTAAGTAAATCAGTACCTTACATACCTAGTTTCTACGACTGGCCTGCAGAGGGTGGAAATGAACCACCACTGAAATTCCTGTCTTATCTTACCTATAATCACTACCCTTATAAACATAATTTTGCGGTCTTATTCAGCTTCATCAATAAATTTATTTGTTATTTAAAATGTCATCTTTTTAAAATTTTTATGTCATTTTTGCGAAATTTTTAAGTCATTAATTTTATTGCATTTTTTATTTTGCATTTTCGCTGATTTTTAACGTCATTAAAATCCTAGCCCTATTTATAAGTATGTGCAAGTTTCTTGCACTATTAATAAATTATTAACACGTTTCTCTTATCAGCTGCAATTAAAAAAAACTATATTCTAATTGATTTTCGAGAAAGGAATACTTTAAAATGCAGCAAAAAAATTGACCCGTAACCTATGCAATTCCACCTGGCCCGTAAGTACTCAGTCCGCCTCTCTTACTATGGTGGGAACTGGGAAACCCAGGCTCTTGCAAGATACTTAAAGTGGGTACCTGGGGCGAAAGTAAAATTTCTCGATTATCCCAAGTAGGGAAGTCGGTCTGGTTTTACCGATGGTTCATGGAAGCGCCTCTAGACCATGTTTAAAAAGATCTTATTTTTCTTTCATTAGCAGATTACAGTATTAATGGATTCAGAACGAGGCGCCGCGAAATATATATATGAACGAATAACTGTAACAAAAGTAACCGATACAATCAATCACTCACTCGTAATTACCCAACCAGTTTTTTCCTTTCTCCATTAATTTCATCACGTTACGGCGCACAAATAAAAATAGAAGATAAAATAAATAAGTTCAACATAAATATCGTAATTCTTTCGGGATAAATGGAATTTATCGAATAAACCGCAGAAGACGTGTTTTATGTTGGTTAATAATACATTATTGAAAACGCTACGGATATGTAACCGCAGAATAGCGTATTATCATGTAAATGTTTCTGAAAAGTTATGGACTGCTTGGCGAAAAATTCTCCAGAGGATTTAATTCCACTTTTAAAGTAAAATTCGTGACATTTAATTTTGAAAATATACGAGTAGATATAGTTTTCCATTTTTGTTCCTTGAATGAACACTAATGGGGTCTCGCTATTTGAGAGTGGTGGTGGCTAGACGCCCCTAATTTGATTTGTATAACTACGATTTCTACAGTTAAAATGTTGACTTGTTTCTAATGTGAGATGTCAGAGCGACGCGACATTTTCTTTACCTCACTTTTGAGTACAATTTTAGAAAAGACCGTTTACGACTTATTGGTCGTCGATTCATTCAAAAATAAATAACCGTAATGTTTTAAATCAGACTAAGAGAATTAATGATATAAGAGAATGGACCAAAAATGATTTAGATGATATAGGTACAGGATGACCAAGGAAATAAAAAGGTTTTAGAAGCAATTATTTAAAAAGTAACTAAACTAAAATAATTATATAAATAACGAAAAACAATTATTTTTTGAAATCTCAGTTGTCGTAGAAAAAAAAGTTGCAAAATTTTTAGCTGCGCCCCCCCGGTGCTCATAGTTATATTTTTGATTTGTCCTCGCAAAAAATGACCTCAATTTGTTTAATATATTTCTAAAAAAAATTGACTAAGTAGTCTGCGTGTGTTTTATTTTACGATATGCGATATGTTTGCCGTTCCTAGAAGCATTTGGAGTTAAAATTGCAGAAAAAATATTTCCGTACATAAGAAAATTGGCATTGGACAAATTAATTGGTAAGATTTTTCTTGTGGCAGACAACCACACGAATACAAAAAGGACGAACTATATTGAAAACTGTAGGAGCCTCGGACGAACGGACAGAGAAAGTGGCTGCAATAGCTCATCTAACTTGGTTGGAAAATGCGCCAAAAGGGGGAGTTTCTGATAAAGCTTGGGTAATTACTGAGCAGCCTGTATAAATTTTTTGAATAGTGATTTCATATGCCTTATTTGTGGACACCCTGAAAATAATGCGCGCTAATCTCGTTTGACTTTTACTGAAGTGAGTGTAGGGTGCGCGGAAACGGTAGAATATCTCGGTTGTCTACGAGGTTGTCTATGAACTGATTGAAAAATTAGATTAAAACTCTAGTCATAGTCATGGTGGCAATTTTTTTTCACTTTCGATTTGGCGGAAAATAACCTCAAATTTAAACAAAGTTAGCATTTAGTAATCTTGCGCATGCGCACATTTAATGTAAGCTATACTCGATATGTTCAGTATTCAGTGAAAATCAAGTATCTAAAGATGCCAAGACCAATTTCCCACGGCTTTAAAGGCTTAATAATTCTGCTAATTTATTATTAGAGAAATCACGAAGTAGAAAATAGGAATTTCGCACTATAGGACATGTTGCACCTCGAACGGGCGGACGGACAGAGAATGTGGGTGCAATAGCGCACCCAACACGAAATAAGCTGAAGGGCGAGGAAGTGCAAACATTTCATATTTAGAGCAAAATTGGGAGTGAATTTTAATATACAGTTCTCCAAAGGTATTGGAATTGATGGGCTACAATACGTAACAACACAAATCCGTCGTGTGGCCGTCGAACTAACAAAGACACAGAAACCATAACGAAGCTTTAGAAAAACGAATGCGTTTCGGCAACAAAGCTATCATCGTCAGCGCGTTTGTAAATGATGATTTTTTGGTGTTTTATTTTCAGTTTCTGTTAATTACATAACGTAAATAAGGTTTCACAAAGGATGATTAAGGTTAATCAATGACTAAAAATACTACCTATAATGAAAAACATCGTTCCTTATAATTAAAGGTCACATTTTGTATACAAAAATAGCGGTGTTCCTTCGGGAAATTTAATGAGGGCAAACAATTTTATTGATGCAGTTAAAGTTGAGCCCAGGGTTTCATTTGAATCAAAAAGTAACGAAAGTAAGCAAAATAACGATACATAAAAAGGAGATCTACAAGCATCTCAAGTAGAAGATACTACTTAATCAGGCATTTTCTGAAAAAGAGGCTGTCAGAGTTCGAATACATGAACGAATCACACAACGAGACATCGCTTTTTCATCCTTGATCCTGATCAAACAAAGACAATTCCAAACATTTCAAATAATTTGTAATATAGGAAAGACATGGCAAGCTTCCACCTTGTTTAAATTGAAAGATAATGAAACAGAAACAAACTGTCTGCTTAAATGTTCGTTTTTGAGTAAGTGAGTAATGCCCATTTCCTTGTAATAAAGAGAGTAAGCCGATTGTGTTTGGAATTAAATTTACATAAAGCAAGCGCCGCTCTATATGTTGAGTTATTCTTTTACAGTTGCGATTTCATCTGAATATGATAATCTGCGCCAGTCTAACAAATCGATTAGAAATGTCGCTAGTTTCCTATCAAGCAGTTAATTATGCTATAAATATCCTCGAATGACTCACGCTTCGGTAATATAAACAAACAGTTTCACTTACAAACCCAGAAATTGAAATAATTACTAACTCTCCTACCTTTTTTTGCACGAATCCAGCTTCGATGAAACTGCAGTTATCTTGCATGTGCTGACGACTTTCTCCTGCTCTATCCAATTAATAGGAACTTTTATTTTTAATTTGTTCGAATCTTTCTTCTTAACACCCGAAGATTTATAACTTTGTAACGAGGGTTTATCCCACCTAGTTAATTGCGGCTTCGCCTTTAACTGTGGCTTGGCACTTTGTTTTAATAACCGGTCGTCAGGTGTGTGATTAATTATTGTTGCTTTCATAGTATCTTCTGTATTAATTTTTCGATCCGCTTTCTCTTCCGCTGCAGCAAAAGGTTTTATCACAGTAACACTTGTCTTTAAATCTGTAAGTAACGGGGCGCTTTGCTTAAACGTTCGCGCGTTGCTCTCGTTCTTATTTAAGTTATTGAAAAACATCACAGCCGATTTAACATTCGGGCTGGCCAGTTGACCATCCATGTCTCTTAAACCTAAACCGGAAAATGAAAGTTTGAAATTCGAAGCACTTCGCTTCAATGGACACGTAATCCGTTACGCGGTGGTAAGAGCGCAAAATTTTGAAAACAGCCGCACGAGCCAATGGAACGTACTCGTTCCGTTAAGTAAAGAAAGTGACTAAAGTGAAACATTAGCGTGGGTTGTTATCAAACAAATAGTTTTACTGATAAGAACAGCTTGGAAGTCATATTCAAGTGAATGCTAGATAAGAATAATCGCACTTATACCGTTTTCGTCCCTTTCTAATCCTTATTGGTCCAGAAACAATAAATGTTGCACTTTTGTAATGTAATGAACGTTGGCAGTTGTGAGAATTAATTATCCGCAATAATCTGATTAATTACGCGATTATTCGATGGCAGTGAGTCAATTGCTTTAGTCAAGACGGGTCACTGGGTTTTACCTTACGAGAAATTACTCCGTGTTTAGGAATACAATGTGGGTCAAGTAAATGAATATACCAAATATCATGGGCAGTAATCTATCACGACAGTTAGGTTTTATTATTAGTACCGTTTGTTTCCATTTAGGGGTAGGCTAGGGATATTGTTCCGTCGAGACATGATGAAGAATTTATTTTAAAATCGTCGATTCAATAGAAAGTCAATTTGCACGTAAAGCATTAGTGATTACAATGGCAAAATGTATGTCAAATCGGCAGGTGCACTAAAGATAAAATTCGAATGACATCAGAATCGGGACAAGACCTACCGTTTCGTTGAACAATTTTCAGAATTTAAATTTACTTTTGTACTTATGATCTCTAGATAAGAAATCCGCCCAGAATTACTAAATGTCTATAAAGTTTCTCATGAACCGTTTAGCGACCGACTACTTATGAGGAACTTTTTTCAGAAACCCAAATATAATACCAGCAAAAAAATTGTAAAAATCTGTAAAGCTTCTCTGAAGAAAGAAAATTGAATCACTTCTGAAAAATACCTGATCTCTGATGAACCTCTGGAAAACCCTGATTAGAACAGAGACCTCTTGGCCATAGTTGACTGCTAGACTATAAGGGCTCCATCTCCATCTTTGTGAGAATAATGAGTTTTGTGCGCTACGGAAAAAATAGCACACATTTCTTAGTCAGAAATTCGATATCGGTTTAACTTCTGGGGCTTACGAATGCTTACTAACTACGTTTTATGTAGGTACCTTTGAAAATTGAAAACGTAATATGATATAAAGAATCATGTAAGGCTGCAGAGATCAATACCAGACAACAGTTCGAATAAATGCTCGCCAAATATGAAGAAACCATTTACTCAAATCTAAATCTCTCGCCCCTCGCCTAAAGCAAAATGCAAACAGATGGATGTTATAGATCGACACCCGCCGCAATTACTCATTAAAGTTCTCAATTAACATCGGGGTTTACGCCAGAGTTCATTTACACATCGCTCGGCGAATGTTCGATTAATTAATCGTTGTATAGTCAAAAGATTACATTGAGTGAGCCCAAAATTGAACAGGAAAATGTGTAGAAAACTGTAGTTTATTTTCGTGCGTTGGACTTTGTGACAAGTAATTAAGCCAACAATTAATAATTTGTAGTAACGCGTTTGTAGTGTTTACCATTTCATAATCGATTCAATTATCTCATTCTAAAATTGTATCACAACGTACTTCAATTCAATCGGAGTTGTGAATTAACTATATTATGTCTTCTTATTGCTAGTAAAGACGGGAAAAATTGAAATGGAGGGCGCTGACGTATAGTATTTATTGATATCGACGTCTAGAGTTCGCAATAATATCAATATTAGCATAGCGTTGTAAGTAAGATAGGCACTGGTTGCTAAAGTGTAAATACGAAATGAATAAATAGTAAAAATTGCGGCATGTAAAATAAACACACCGACCTCATCATCTTTCATTTTTTAGTTAATGTTAAATACCGTCTGCTGTCCTCTTCCTCTATTGCAAACAATAGGTGTACATAAAGGTAAATGTTGGGCTAAATTTCATGGTTCGATAATATTACACTTACAATACTTGGCCGCAAATTGGTTTTCATTGGATTCAGATTGGATTGTAGGTTTATATTAGCATATTATTTTTTTTACTATAGGCAAATAATGATAAGAATTCCACCCCAACCCCTTGAAGTGTTCATGACTCCAAAATACTATAATATTTTGGAGAAGGACATCGTCAATGAGAATGGAATATTACACCATCATTGGTAGTATTTAATAGCAAGAATAATAGTTGAAGCTGGTCAGAAAGTTTGAGGCTTTTGAGTTAAATTTATCAGCGTTTATTTTTAAGTGTGGTTGGACGTATTTAAGGCTACATAATCAGTTTTGAATTGTCCAAATATAAGAATGGAAAATAACAAAATTGATCCGTTTCCTAAACCCACCTCCAATTACCTATTTAATTTACTACAAAAGAATCACAAAAAAAAGAAAACACATCCAGCTGCAGTTGGAAACTACGAAAAAATCTTCAGGAAACGAATTTAATAACCTCTGATATATTGTGAGATGCAACAACATTCAAGTTCACAGTTGTTCAAATCCTCCTTTTCTTAAATTGAAATAATAACAATTGAAGGTCATTAAGCTTAATTTGAGAATGCGTGGACAAACAGTAATTATACTTACGTTGTGATTATTTTGTAAACAATATTACTGTACAAATTTAATTGTTTGCTGCGGCGAATCGTTAGCACCTAATTGAAATTTGCAAAAGTTTGGACATTCTTGATTAAAATGTTTCTTTTTAGCGTATGTTCCCCATAGTGAAAAATCGCTGTTGGCTGCACTTTGTCTTCCGTCCGTCCGTCCGTTACACGTACTCTTTCTACACCACTGAACCGATTTGGGCGATATGGGGCTCATTTGAAAGGGCTTGGTACGAGAATTTCGTGCATACCGATATTTATTGCTTTTGCATGCGCAGTATCAAAAATGTGGATTAACACATGTGTAATGCTAACTTTTTTATTTATGAAGATATTTAAATGAAACTTTATATTTAAACACTACGAATATAAGTAAAATTAACGACGTTTTCAAAATGTTGTTTTGCGCATGCGCAATGGTAACTTTATTATTTATGGCCAGTCATTTTAAACACTAAACATTGCAAAAAATACTGTAAACTTGCATTTTTAATATGTTGTTAGGGACAACCTAGACAGTGTAAATCTAGATTTGCAACCCTCAGAAACGTGAGCCAGCCGATATACAGGGTGAAAATCGAGAAAGTTTGGAACTTTTTTCAGTTTTTCGCAAAAAAAGAAGTAAAGGATTGATCTGAAGAGGAAATGTGTTATTACCACTTTTGAAGCAGAGAAAATTACCTAAAAGACGAGCTATGTGCGAGATCTGTAACCCAATTAGTTCCAGAGATACAGCTATGTGAATATTGACAAGTTTTCCAAAAAAAAGTGAAAATAAAATAATTAATTACATTAGAAATTTTTTTTCTTCATTATAACAACTTAAAATCGAGGTGATTCCAGATTGATTTTAGCATTTTCACAACTCTTGACAAAATTGTTGTATCGATCGCATTATGCGCAGGGGATATCTCTACTTTCTCATGGCTTGCACCCGCCTGCAGAAACACTTGCAGTCTTGCAGGAGATCCGGCTTTTGTAATAAGACGGAGCAGAACTTCAATTTCCCCTGCCAAAAACTGCAGATATGGTGTCACAACCACTTAGTGCATGCAACACCAACACAACTCCACGAGGGACGTCTGGAATTTTGAATGAGAATGAGGAATACTCTGTATCCGTGTATTCTCTTCTACCACTTTTGTGAATGGCATTAATTTGTGAACCTCCGACTAAGCCACTGCTTATAGATATTAACTGTTCACTAATTGGGAAAGGAGGATGGACACCAAAGTAGTCCTTCAGTTATCAACAGTGTCTGTGACAACCAGAGCCTGCCTCGTGTCTACATGTTGCTCCGTTGTACAAGACCATACCGCACTGAAGAAGCGTTCTACTTCGTTACAGATATTCAACATCAACACCATTCGCTGTGACCAACGGGAGAGTACGCTGCTTGAAATTCCTCTTCCATGAGTCAAACCACCTTGGCTCTTCATGGACCTCATCAGCACTTGTTCCATTTGTAAGGTCAGACCACAGACCAGGCCCGAATTTATCAGAGCGACGAATGGTGAATCCTCCTTTCGAGAACATCCTGTACTCATATGGAGTCATTCGTTTCTCAAGGGTTTCCACTCGGGTTTCCATATCTTGTAAATATACTCTAGCACTTTTTGCATAATTAAAACGCCCTGCCGAATGGAAACCCATCCGCTCTGCTTGAATGAACTGTTTCAAAAGCGAGGTCATCCGGGTAGTACTGAATCCATACTTTGGAAGTTGGGCCGTTTCGTTCCAGGTTTTCTAAGACAGTACGGAATTTGGCGGTTAGAACTTGACATACGTCATTTTCTTCTACGATGAGGATATCAACACTACCACATAGAATTTTTTCCATTCCAGCTTTTTCTTCACAGGTGAATTTCAGAACTTGTCAATATTCACAGAGCTGTATCTCTGGAACTAATTGAGTTACAGATCCCGCACATAGCTCACCTTTTAGGTAATTTTCTCTACTTTAAAAGAGATAATAACACATTTCCTCTTTAGAACACTCCTTTACTTATTTTTTTGCGAAAAACTGAAAAAAGTCCAAAATTTTCTCGATTTTCACCCTGTACATCGGCTGGCTCATGTTTCTGAGGGTTGCAAATCTAGATTTATACCGTCTAGGTAGTCCCTAACAACATATTAAAAATGCAGCTTTACAGTATTTTTTGCAATGTTTGGCAAAAAAATTGTCTAATATGACTGGCCTATTATGAAAGCAGTTAAATGAAATATTATATCTATGCACTTTGAACGAAACTCGGAAGGAAACTAAAATTAATAACCGGTTTCCATTACTGTTTACGCATGTTGTATGTTTTATTTATGAAGGTATTTAATGAAATTTCTAATGTAAACAATGCGCCATGCTATTTACGAAAGCATTTAAAAAAAGTTTCATATGTAGACACTTTGAATAAAAGTAAAAGTAATACCCATTTCAAAATTTGTTTGTATTTGTATACTCTCCACTACTTTTCATTAAACTGTATAGACTTCGACCTCGACTTCGACGATAGGCGGCTCATTTGAAAGAGAATCGGGTAACCTACCTATATTGTTAGTTGCAAAAGAAAATATATGATTAAAATTAGGAATAATGTGAAGTTTGACAGTAATAACAACTGATTTTGCGTGTCCAACTACATTTTTATTAGACTGAAGCTATAAAGCAACATCTACTTGACATAGTTATCAAGATACAAAGACTCAAATTTGAGTTCTTTCTAAATTCAACAGCCTTTACCTCGAAAATGGTAAAAAAATTGCCTTAACGTAGATTCCAAAAATTAAAATACAAGGTGTCCCATTTAGAATTTCAAGTTCAGGCCTGCCAATCGCTTTTGAGACGCCCTGTATAAATAATACTACCAAAATTAAAAAATTGTGCTTAGGTCAAACATCTTTTGTATTAAACTTAGTTTTGCAAAACCTGATAGAAAATTAGGTAGAGAGGAGAGGGGGTCAAAATATATAAAATAACCCGCTTCCGCATAGAGTTTTCTTTTAGAAAGTCGGTTCAGTGGTATAAAAGGAGTACGTGTGACGGACGAACGACAAACTGCCGCCAATAGCGATTTTTCACTTTGAGGAAAATACGCTAATTAGTATCCAAATAGCCCTAATAGCTTTTTATTATACAACAGGATAAAGAGATGTTTTAACCATTGTGTGAGTTAACTTTTACGAATTGGTTAGTTTCGATTTATCGTCGTGTATAAGAAAAACCTTTATTCTATAGCAGAAGCATTATAAATCATCATAAACCCTGGGAATTTAATTTGGACGACAAAGCAAAGCTTAGGTTTTCCAGTCGTTTCCATCAAAACAATATTGTTTTTTGTTCTGAACTTTATTTTATTTCATGCTCCGCGTCCGATTTTAAATAACAATGACAGCTGTCATTATAATGAACAATCTTTTGTTTCACTGAATCTGCCCTTGCCGTTAAATTGATCACTCTCACTGCTAAAGTCAAACCTATTAAAATATAACATCTGCTATAAACACAAAAAGGGATTTATTTGATCGTCGCCATTACGTGTACTTCAGAAAAATTATGGGTATAACTTCTCTTAGCGTTACTTAAGGGTCGATATGTGTAAGCTCAAAAAATCGTAGTATAAGGGGCAGAAGGATGTAGACTCTCTCCCATTCGCGACAGGTACGCAACAATATTCCAGACAGAGATTTTTGCCGATCAGATCCTATTGAAAAGCAACCTTTATAACAATCGAATATCTATAACAATCGAAGACATGCTGCAGTAAAAAGTAGTGCTTGAGTCCATCCGAAACAAGATGGAGTAAAATAATAACGTGAAGTTGATATGTACCTACATTTGGTAATTCTGCCACTAGCCGAAGAGGTCCTCATCATTTAAAAAAATGGCATGTGAAATACTGGAAGAATATCTCTGATCAGAGACAAGCCAAGGAGAAAGAAGAAACACCTCTACATGTACTGTGATCTTGTGAGGCGTCCGCTTATATAATACTTTCCTCTGAAGAAGGCCCATGCATAATCTTTCTAATCAGGTTGTTTGGACTCGACCTTGTTGTAGGTAGAAGATCAAACCGTGGTTGAAACGTAGTAATAAAATTCTTATTAACGCATTATGACATCTTAACGCATCAAATAAGAACTCATGCACAATTTAGCTTAAAAAGTATGGCAATCATATACTTATTCACACCTGACCGCTCATAGCGTAGATTATTGTCCCTGCGAAGGTTCGCCTATTTTTAAATAGGTACGGCTTTATCGGTAAATTTAGCGCGTAGGTATATTTGGTTACGTAAAGGTTGTCTGATCATCTATTTACAAAAGGCATATTTTTAGCATCTGCATTCTACCGCATTATCATTTTTAATTGCCATGACATTTCAGATCAACTTCCATTACGATGATTTAAATTTTTTCTTTCTAGAAAAGCGACAGTTCCGTCTTTTTAAAAAATTATTCAACCAATGTTGTTTCTCCATTCAGGATTAGGCTTATGTTATTGATTTCGTAAGTAGGTATATCATTAATGCTTTTTGGTACGAGTATTCTACTGGCTATATTTTAATTTTATTGAAAAAACCAAACCTAAGGGATGCACTAAACTTCCCAAAGAAAATTAAGTATGTTCTTATTAGAAGATAAATCTCGACCATAACCCATCTAAAATCATCTACCAAATTAAAAGTTTGCAATTAACGTCTGTCGTGCTATTGGTTTCGTATTCAGGATACGTTACACAAAATTGACTTCAAAACAGCTGCGGCATATGCTTGAGGGTACCCCGTACTATTTTTTCTGTACAAAAACGACTTCCTCTATCACCTGACGTGATAGATATATTCATCGACTTTCATATAAAATTTTTGGGCGATGGTCTCGAGATAAACGAATTATGAATAAATCTAAGCTCATCAACATAAAGCAGATGTGCATTTTTTACCCTTAGATTTAATCATCTTGATTTCATTCGTGCACATGTTAATAATTAATACCATAAACGTCGCGGATTAGAAATCTTACCATTTCTTTAAGTACCTAACAAACCGTATTATTTATGTAATTTCCTCGTTTAATATCATTTCATCGTCTTTTGCGGCACCCTCGCACGCTTCCATTAATGAAATTAATCCCCCATTTTTTAATTAACCTTAAAAATCTTCGCGTATTTGAAAGGTGAGGATGACTAACGCAACTAAAACACGATTACACTCATTAGTAAACACTTTTCACAATCACAAGGTTTTAATTAGGTCGCGTCATTACATACTTATTCACTGTGTATAGAAAAGCACGTGTTGTTCGAGTTGCTGCGGAAGTCATACTGGTTACAAACCAATGATTTAATATATGTGACGGTCAAATTGGATAACTATTTCCTGTGGAATAATGTAAGCGAATGACCCATACGGGTCACGTCATGGTAATGCATTCAAAATAAAATGCAGCCTCGTCGGGAGGGCAATTTGCCAGAGGAATTTGATACGAAAATATTTTTACGAAAGAATCTCAAGAATTTAGAGACCAATTCGTTGGTATTTTGTGGTTCGCCGCAAAGATTGTGACAGTGATAATAATCGAGAAGAACTTTTGTTAGAATCGCAGGTAGGTCTCGCTGACAAAGAATTTCGTGTAATGTATATCTTCATTATGACTAATTGACGAGTATCTCCAGACTACTAATCTGAACACCCTTGAAAAACCTTCGTTGCACAAGTATAATCAGTGTAGGTGAATAAATTCAGTAACAATAGGGTAATAAAGAATGATTCATCAAAGATACGTTTCTCACAATTCTTTGTGTATTTGGAGGGTTTTGACGAATTTCAACTTTTCGGACTGTATGGGTGAGGCATCATCCAATGAAATCAATAATTAGATCCCCGGCCTGGTTTATGCAGTTGTGTCCGATGGGAATCTCGGAAATTAGCATATACAGAGCGTTAGAGGCAAGAGGTCACATCAAGAATTTTTTTATTTGGCGACCCCCAACAGCCCATAGCTGGAAAACGATGCGTGTTTTTTTTAAAATACGCTTTTTTTTTACTTTTGTTTGTGTTTATTACTAATACTTATTACTAATAATTCATTTATTAACTAAAGTCGGTAAACACAAAGCTCCTTATTTAATTCAATTGGCACGTAAGAATAAGAATGACATTTTACAACTTATCCCTTAAGTAGAGGGTACAACACCCTCATTAAGTTGTCAATGACCTTTTTTGTCGGCGATCTGGTGCAGATGTTCATGTTATTATAGATGGGTCAGGTTTTACTTTTCTTTACATTATTAATATTAACCCAGATTTCAGTATTTAAATCTGTGATATTAATTAATCATTATAAAAACTGCAGTATTTAAACATGTACACAGATATTTTAACATAGGTATTGATATTTTACCTTAACTTCTTTGCATTAAAACCCAAAAAAAATGCAACGAACTAACTTCTGCAATTAATAAACGAACACTAAGCTGCTACATAGTTTTTTCTTTGACATTTTTTTCTGCTTTTTTATAATAAAACATAGCATAATTTTCTTGTAGACTAAAAGAGAGTCTTTCGAATAATTTAATGAAAATATTGCCTTGTTATTTGAAAAAAAGTTGTATGCCGGCGTTAAAAACTAAGATATTAAAAAAAGTTTTACATCATTTATAATGCCTAATGTACATCCGCAAAATTTTAACGAAATCATAGTACCCGTTTTAGGGAAAAAATTTGTTGAGTTTTTTAAATTTGACATTTTTTTTCTCAGTTTTTTTGTAATAAAACCTGGCACAATATTTGTAGGTTGTACACAGAAAAATAAGGTCTTTCGAATAACTTAATAACAGTTTTAGCTTGCTATTTTAAAAATTTCGATGCATTTGCGGCGCTCCAAAATTTTTTTTCAAAAATCGGGCTCGTTATTTTTCGTTTCAGTATGCCTAACATACATATCCAAAGTTTGAACAAAATCCGTCGGTCCGTTACCTCAGAAAATTGCCAACGTACGCACATACATACAGACGGATAAAAATGTATTCTTTAAAAGTTGCTCGGAAACCTCGGCCCCAAAGGAGCCTCGTACTTCAATATTTCCTCGCCAGTAATGTGTCATTTTCCTAGGTAAAATATGAACTCCAGATGCTACGTGCTGATTATCCAGTTTTAAAAGGGATCCCTCGTGGTGTACGGTTTTGAGAAGAATTTTTTCAGTTCTACAGAATATTTCAGGTTCATACTTCAGACTTCAAGCGTGGCAATTTACGAATAAAATCAAGAGAAATGTCAGTAATTATTCTTCATTGGATTATTTTCATAATCTTACCAACATGACACATAAACCTTTATTTCTATGGAAAAGAGCAGAAAGAAAAGTATTTGACGAAGAACTGAAAGGCACAGCTCGTCTTCTCACCTCAGAAGACATCATTGCAGACAAGGATTTAGATACTTTCACTTCTCTCCAACAAAAACACCCTCAACCATATCGCCCTCTTAAGATCCCTCTTTACATGCATTAGCTTCTTTTCCAAATAGTTTTGCAGCTGGAATAGACGGACTTTCGCCAAGTCACATTAAGGACCTAACCGGTGCTTCACTCAGACAAGCTGGTCAAGATCTCCTTATTGCATTGTCCAAACTTTGCAATATGATGCCCCAAGGCAAAATTAACGAAGATTTCACTCCATACACTATGGAGCCTTTCTAATTGCATTAAAAAAAGAAAGGCTCAACCATTAGAAGATGCTGTTCCAAAATTGCATGTAAAAAAAATTAAACAATTACATCATTAGATGAGAAAAAATCTTCTTTCGATTGGTGTCATTATAAACACCCTATTTTAGGGAATATTTATCTGAATGTAAACTAAAATAAAGCTTTCTTAAAACGCCATTGCAAACTCAGTGAATACCATAACAACGATTTTCAACTAATGAATTTTCAAACCCCATTTGCCATTTATTCAAAACGTGAATAAAGTGCAGATATTGACAGACCGTATCAAAAAAATAAAGTTTTACATGAAATTAAAAAATGCCAAGAAATAAGTTGCCATTTTAAATAATGAAGCTACAATTTTCAAAATTGTCGCCATTTTGCAAATGTTACACCATATCAGGTTTCATAACAATCGGCAAATACAGATTAAACGACTTCCCTATAAAAGCTAAAAAAGCTCTCATAACCACCCCAAAAATGTATCTGTCCAGTCCGAGTACTTCAAGACTTTCATCACTTACATTTACACGTAAATGTTTGGAAAGTTTCCGCTATCGCCATAAAGACCTCATTTTTGAGAGATAATTTTATGTTTCTTTGGAAGTGATTTCAATTCAACAATAAACTAATAATAATTAAAAAAATAAACATATCAAACAATGCACGATTTTAAATAGTGTCATGTTGCATCATATGCAAATTTCGCATAATTTACATCGTATTTGCCCTTCCAATTTAAGTAATGAATAAAATATATGCAAAAACAGATCGTTTTCGTAGGGGCGCATTCGCTTTGATTAATTGCGTGCGTTAATAATGACGCGCGACCCTTCAATTTTAACGCGCACCTACCTACTTCAAATAAAATATTTCCGCGCTCAATTTTTTCTCTCCCCGTCCGACTTTTGCGCCGTTTAATTAATTGAACATATTTGTAAGAGTCGACGAGTCGTCTATGAGTTCCCTCCGGCTGTAAAGAACTGCACGGATCCGATGCTCCTCCGTGCGGAAGATTTATGTCCGAGATTTTTTCCTCTTTCTTTTCCACCCTCCTGATACTTCTAAGGGCAAGTTCGCGGCAGGTTCTGTCAATGTGGCGGATCTTCTCTTCTTTATTCGCCAATCTAGATTTTTCAATTCTTTGACCGGCACATTTTCAGCAGCCGGCGAACCTCAACATCCCTTGCTTTTCCTGTTGAAGTATTAGTTTTTAATAATTTAAGTCGCGTTCGCTCGATTACGCAAGGGTTTCTCCGCATATACATGTAGGCGTTGAAATATTAATTTGCCTCTTCCTTTTTTACGCCACAGGCTCCGAATGTAGATTATTAATGCGATTGATTTTCGGCACACTTACCGAGTAGTGAATATAAATGACAAAACAAAAGTGGATTGGGCTATTATGAACGGGATGTGAAAGTTGTGTACCTACTATCAATGGCAGACGTTCCATCAATCTTTGTTTTGTTATGTCATCATCCAGTGCGTTCCGATTCCTATTGGGATTATTTGGAAATTTGTAATGAATTTCATTCCCCAAACGTACAGATTTGTGGCCATATTTCTATTCGATGAATTCACGTTTGTTGCTTTCAATTGGCCGCGGTGAGGGATGAAACATTATTTATTTATTTATTGCCACCAAAGGAACGCGCTTCAAGAATCAATTTGTACCCAAGGGATTGGTAACATGTCACCCTCCGTAAGTTCTTACCTTAGAAACAATTTCTATTTCCCATTGCGTTGCGCCTTGTAATAAACCACAAGTGTTCAGTGGCGTGTTAATATCGCTTAAACCTAAAACTTCCGCTTTAAAATGTCAAAGTGGAGACAAATGGCCACAATTCCGTTACTGGCGCACTTTCAAACGTACACTCGACGGTTATTAAATGCTTTTAATCGTCGTCCATTTTTTTGCTTTTATATTTTTCTACCTCTTGCCCATTGAGAACGCCACTGTCGGTTAGATGCACTTACAATTTTAAGCACGTAGAGCACTGTGGATATTTCCAAGTGGGAAAGTATATCTGGTTACAAATGACTACAAAACATCTCTTCTAACATGTATTCATGATATAAATGAACATATCATGCTTTGTTACCTGATGATTAATCACCTCTAAAAAGTGTATAGTACTTAATTGCCATAAAGGCGTTATTTTCTACATTGCTTTGAATTCGTTTACAAACAAAGAGTTAAAGGATGTGAAATATGAATTAAAAGTGTCCAACCATTTGAGTAAATTCCAATATGAATTTCTGGTAGCGAAAAACTTCGTGCAATTAATATAGGTAATTAATAGGCAATCTTATTGAAATAGTCACTTTTCACCTTTACTGGCTCTCGGTAAATGACCCTATATGAATAAACAAATCCGCCTTGATACCGATAAGTTTAATGGATTCGAGGTAGAGAGTTTATAATTTTGCTGTGTAGCTATGTAGCTCAAAAAATCAAAAATTGAAACAGATCTCGTCTCATATATACCTGACGTTGTTTACACAATAATAGATAATGCCACTAGCCGTGGCCTACGTTAGCTTCAGGCCACCGCAATACTCGCTACGTACGGCGTGACGTCACGATCGGAGTCCTGTCAAA